TTGCATAACCATAAGGGTTCTTAGATCCAATTGGCTATTGTTTTCTTATCAATATGTATCGTTAAAATAATCATCCATCTTTTCTTTACCTTTATCATTGTTATTTTCCCTCGTCAGTTGTTGACTATATTTTTTTATATGTCATTTCATGTCATAATGAAAACACACAACATTTAAAAAATGGTTGTTCCTATTTCCGCTTCTATCTTTACTCTTCAGATCTTTACTCTTACTCCTCCCCTTATTTTAGTAACAAGAACTTCTAACTGTAATAAAGAGTCATGTGACTTTCTTCTAAGAAACATTTTAGACACGACTTTTAACCATGTCCATAATTATTACTCCATTTGAGGTTGAGTATGATAACAAAGTTTTAAAAGTCTCCAATGAGTCTAACAATATGCCAAGAAGCCATAATCATTGTATCTCATCCTCAAACTTGATATTCATTCCAACAAGTTAATTAATGATACCTTGGAACGTATTCCAGTGATCTGAAATAGGTGTTTCATCTTGATATAGCTTCAAAACCATCATTTGCTTGATAAGAAACATTTTATTATTACTAGTTTTCGGGACACATTACTGAAGCTTCTTCCACATTGTTTGTGCGTATGTTTCTTCACCAATATGATTTAGAATATTTTCTTCTACTCAATGTCTAATAAACTCACATACTATTTGATTACATATTTCTCATTATAAATTAGTTTTATCTTTAAACTTATCAAGTGAAAAAATAGGGTCCTTCACATATAGAACATCTTCTATCATTCTTTTCCAAACTTGATAATTGGAGTCATTCAAAGTGACCATTCTACTAGTTTTCATTGTTCAGCACAAGATGCTGATTAATTACAACCTCTCTCTAATACCAGTTTGTTGGGATAAACACTTAATTCTTGGACAAATTATCCGTTCTTGTGTTAACCTAATAGAAAATACCAAGTAAAATAATTTTAACAAGCAAAGAGCACTAGCAATTTTAGCATGGAAAAACCTCCTCAAGGCGGGGAGCAAAAAACCACTGACAGAAGTCAAATCTTCCATATAATAAATAATGTGCTACAACAAAGTTCCCTCTACTCACAACTAGAGGCATACAATAACATATATATTGAGACAATAAATCTAGACAAATACGATATAGAAAGATTAATAAATCTCACTAAAAAGTGGCACCTAATTGCCTACTATAATCCGATTGTAGATAACTCCAAAAGAAATCTCCATCATATATTATAAAGCCCTTATGCCGTGAACACGTTGTCAAAATTTTAGCTTGATCAGACTATGAATCAACCTCCAAAGGTGCTGAAAACATTTATGTATGGATACCATTCTTTTCTAATTTATATTTCTCTCTCTCTCTCACATCGTTTGTGTCACAAATCGGCGTCTGCTCCTTGTTTTAAATAAAAAGGAAACCTAAAGCACACACGAGCCTTCAAATATTGGGCCTTAACATAATATTGAGAATCCAACACCTTAATAGATTGACTCTGTTAGGACAATATTTTTTCATGTTCCAGACTGTGTGCATCTCTAACAACATTTCTTTTGCACAAAGTCTTTCTTATTCTTTTTTTAATTACTAGTTATCAGTGTCGAATCTTCATGTGAAGTACACCATTCAATCTTCACCCTTATTTCCTCAAACAAAAGTTTACTAGTAACCTAGCAAAATTCAAAGTCTCATTCCCATACATCAAGATCAACTTTATGTATTCATAAGAAGATGGAAGTGACAAGATGAGCCTAAGTGTCTTACCTTCATCATCTATCTTTACTTTGATCACCTCCATCTCAAAAAGTATACTATTGCGAACACTCAGATGATCTGAGATTTTCGTATCAACCTCCTTTCGTAGTATTCGAAATGCTCCTTTAGGTACAACCGCTTTGAGTTGTCCTTTGCATGATACAATGCTTCAAGCTTCTCCCAAAGTTCTTTGGCTGTCAAAATTCCAAGCAGTTTGCAAGGACATAATTGTTGGTCAAATATATTCTTATCGCGTTTGTTGTATTCAAATATATTTTATCCTAACCTTCATCACTCATGTTGGACCTATTAAAACCTATGTTGGAATTATCGCTGGACTCTACATAACCACCATCACTGCTTAGCTTTTTAGAAGCACCATCGCTCCGTCTTCCCTTCAAGGTCTGGTGCAATCCAAATTGTAGCAGCGCATATTTGACTTCTACTGGCCGGAAGTAGAAGTTAATTATTTTGTCCAAATTTCTCGACATCAATCTTCTAGACTTCTAAAGATTGACATATCTACGTCACACTCCCAGCAAATTTGTAGATAGTGAATAATTCATACTATTCACAAAACTAGCTCATTTCAAGAAATCTTTTCTGATGCGGAAATTAAGACAATACTACAACCACATAGCTACCCGTAAATTCAACAAACTACGAACCTAAAGCTCCAATACTACTTGAAGGAAAAAAACTTCCTACCTCTACCACATTGACGAATAAGTATAAAATAACTGAAAAATTAAAAGAAAGTAACACCAATAAAGAAAACATAATAATTTATGTGTAAAACTCCTCATTGAAGAAAAACCACGACACCAATAGAAAGAATCCACTTTGTAAAATTATTAGTCACAATTACAAAAAACACTCTAAAGTTTTATACCGCACAACGTATGAGCCTCTTTTACCTCACTTGGAGCATWCCGCTCATTATACTTTTTCAATTGGGATAACTTCTATTCTCTTAAGAAGAATGAGTGGCTGCCATTAAGGATAGGAATCGAAATTTCCGACAAAAGTTAGAATGTGGGTTCGATCCCTGATTCTTCTTATTCAACGCAGGTCCTCGTGGGTTTTGTTTCCCTGGTAAAATTGATATACTGCTTAAAGCAGCTAATAATAAAATTTAGCTTTTGAAACCTATGTCTCATATGATATATGCATGGTGTATTTAGAAATACTTTTATCAAGAGTAGTTTTGTTATGTTTGGAAATGCTTTTAACCATACTACTTTAATTATAAACACTTTACTAAAGTTATTTGATAATAAATTACATTTACTTTTAGTTTTATATCGTTATGTATTCCTTGAAATACTTTTCAATTAGCTGTTAAGTTATAAACACTCTACAAGTACTTACTCATAAAACAATTTAGGGTGTTCAAATTTCTTACGGAATCTTTTATATTACCTCCAAACATAAAATTTTAGTGGAAAAATATTTTTAGGAATGGTAAAATTGTATTTAACCATGCTAAAAGCACTCCAAGTCTTGGAAAGAAAATTGAGTATAATGAAAACGAAAAATTGTAAAAAACTAAAACACTCTCCAGCTTTTTAAGTTGTGTTATAATTAATCCCATGGTCCAAGTTTCAATTTAATCATAATTCTCTAAAATTGTAACAATTAAACTCTATTGACTATCCCTACACTATAAAGGTTATTACAATCCAGCCCAAAACAACAAGACTTAGTAGACTTACAAAGTAGAAACTCACATAAAAATTATCTTAAATTCAATAACTAGGATTTTATAATTTTTTAATGCAAGTTGTGTTTGACAGTGTCTGTAATTGAACACTTTTGTTTGGAAGGATGAGTGGCTGCCATTAAAGCTTCTCCTTCTGACAAAAAGAGATGGAGCATTCATTTGAAAATGGCAGAAGTGTCCTTTCCTCACAAACACACAAAAGTCCATGAAGGGACATCATTGTTCTCATCTGTCCACCCCTCAAAAGAATCTTTATAAAAAACTAATAACCATCATTTTATATATAATATATATATATTCCTCTTGAGTTTTAACTATTCTAAACCTCTATGGGTTAGTTCAACAATCTATTATTTTAGAGATTTGAATTGGGTTCAATATATATGTTTTAAATAGTTGAATTATATTTATGTTAGTATTGTAAATCTACTCGTATTATTTATGTATATCTTTTTTATTATCTTAATTATTTCTCAAAATATTTTATATCAAAATGGTATACATGAAAATTTGAGTTTTGGTCACAACTCAATGACCATTAACATGATGAGTTGGCAAAAGATCATTAGTCTATGGAATACAAGAGTCATGGTTGCTTTGAATACACAAAGGACTCGACTCATATTCTAGGTCCTGTTGGTTATTTTTTATAAAGTTCAGTACACCATCTAAATTAAAGGAGAAAAGAGAGAAAAAAAAAGTTGCTAAAAGTAATGGCAACATACATGTTCTAGATTATATCAATTTTAGATTCATTTCAATTGTATTGAATCGATATTTATTTGTGATTGAAGAGCTAAATATAATGTCGATATTCCATTTCTCATACATCGAATTAAAAAAAAGTAGTAATAATAAAAAAAGAAATTAAAAGTTGATGAATATTTCTCTTAGAAAAATAGGACTCACCCGCACATTGGTTTGAAAGAGACTTGATTTATAATTGAACTAGGACTACGTCATTAAGTGATAATTAATGTTCATGTTTTCCTTCAACCAGTTGATTGCAAAACAAAGATAAACATCAATGACTAATTCGAACATAGTTAGGTTAAAAGAGTTAAAAACTACGGAACTTAACATTTTATGGTCCATTTGGTAACATTTATATTTTTTTTTATATTTCTTCCTTTGGAATAAAAACAAATTACAATTTTATGACCCCAACATCTATAATTAAATGATGATCAAACAATATTTATATTTATGGAGGTTAATAAAAAACAAGAAAGTTGTATAATTGCACAATTCTAAAGATTCCTAATAAAATTAGAAATAAGAAAAAAAAAACAAGATGTTTTTAAATGGGCCTAAATCTTTAAACTAAAAAAAGAAAGAAAGGCACTCATGGGAGTTAAAAAGCTGAGAAGAGTAATAAAAACGTCTGCAAGAGTGTCAGTCTGAAACTGCGTCTGTGATAGGGAATAAAAAGTTAGCCTTATTGGTCAAATCTCAGCCCCACGCCTGGGACTTTTTTGTATTCATTAAAAGCCCCAATTCCTCTGGATCCTGAAAACATAATTCCTTAAGTTTTTTTTTATTTATAATTTAGTTTCAAAAATTATCCCAAACTTGCCGTTGCACGCCTTCCAAGCTCAAAACCCAGTTCCCTTCCCTCCCACTTCCATCCCCTCTCGAGTTCTGCAGCGCTTCCGATTTTCCGGACAATCATTTTTGACTTCGCAGCCTAAACCCAACAAACAAACAAACAAGCAAACCCATTTTCATTTTGCCTTCTTTTTCCCATTTTCATCCCCTTTTTTCTTTCTTCTCTTGCCTTTTGGCCTTGGAATTGCTATTCGGTACTGTACTTTCCTCCTCTTTCCTTCTTTTTCGTGCGTTATATTCTCCTAGAACTGCGTTTCTGACTGTAGACTCGAACTCGGTGGGTAATTGCTTTTAGGGTTTTGCTTATCTTCACTTTTGGCGTTTTGGGTTCTTATAATTTCGTCGACCCATCTCGAAATTATGTTTATACGCTTAGATTGTTGGAATCTTCGTCTTTGATTTAGGGATTTTGTTCTGTTTCTGTTTTCTTGCCTGCTTTTTGGTCTGTGAATTGGAGCGGTACGGTTTAAATCTTCTTCTCTAGGGGTTTTGTGAGAAGAGAAGTGATCTGTTGATTAATTTTAGTTTTGAATCTGTGGGTTCTTGAGTTGAACTCTGTTTCTCCTCTGGTGATGCAGGTTGGATTGTGTAGCTCTGTTTCCAATTTCCATGGCTTCCCCAGTTAATAACTTGGGTGTTTCAGAGCACGAGAAACAGGAATGTGTTGTGTCCAATGGGAAGGAAGGTGAGGGAGTTGTTGGTGTTCTTGAGGTGTTGGTTCACCAAGCAAGAGACATTCATAACATCTGCATATACCACAAACAAGATGTGTATGCGAGGCTTTCCTTTACAAGTGATCCTTCAAATTCTGTGTCCACCAAAACCATCAATGGTGGTGGGAGAAATCCAGTCTTCAATGAGAATGTTCGGCTTAGCGTTCGGTCGAACGATACGTCGCTCAAATGCGAGATATGGATGCTGAGCAGGGTCAAGAACTATCTTGAAGATCAGTTGCTTGGTTTTGCTTTGATCCCTCTGGCAGAAGTTGTTGCTGCTGTAAATGGCAAGTTAGAGAAAGAATTCTCGCTTTCGTCCAGCGATTTGTTCCATTCTCCTGCCGGGTTCGTGCAGCTATCGCTTTCGTATAATGGAGCTTCTCCAGAAGTCATGGAGATCCCGGCGCTTGAAACAATCGCAACCGTGCAGGATTCGGATGTAAACAAGCTGTCACATCCAAGTGATTTGGACATGATCGAGTTCCCAGACCCAAAGATTGTGAATGAAGACCAGATGATGGTCTCCGAGTATATTGGTATCCCGTGTTCGGATCTGGATTCCGAAAGATCTGAGAGCTTGGCCATTTCTGATGGCGAGAATCATCATCTTAGTCCAGGAATAGGTGGTATTCCTGTTGTCGAAAAGTTTTCAATGCCGAACGAGAAGTCGAACCAAGCTTCTAAGATCGACTCTCCACCTAGCAGTGTGCCAACGGATGCGGTTTCGTCTTTGCCCGCAAGCTCGGAGTCATCAGAAGCTGCAGCCAGTTCTAAAGCTACAACTCAAGATGAATATGTTTCAGCAGCAAATGCCAGTAGTGAGAAGGAACAAAATACTGAAAATGGTGAGATTAATGATTCTTGCAGTGAGGCAGCAGGTGAGACAATTACAAATCCAATAGTTTCTGTGAACATTGAGCCAGATGACAAGGTAGTGCAGCAAGACATTGTGGACATGTACATGAAAAGTATGCAACAATTCACTGAATCTTTGGCAAAGATGAAGCTTCCTTTGGATATTGACAGTGGCCCTCCCAGTTCGGGTAGTTCGACTTCGGATCCGAACCTACAATCGCCCAAAAACAGTGGTCCGCGTGTCTTTTACGGGAGCAGGGCGTTCTTCTGATCCAGTTCTCATCCCCGCTGGTGAAAGATCAGGTGACATTAGATTTTAGAATCATTACTAAGATTAGGATGATGGTTTTGTAGTATGGTCTTTTTATTTTTTTTAATGTTCTTCCATTATGCTTCTTCAGATGTTTTAGATGACATAAATTTACAAACTTTGTCACTTAATTAGCTTTGTTCCTTCAATGTTGCTGATTGGTGTGGTGTTGGTCTGATTTGAACTTTTGATAATTGAACCTTCTATTGCCAATGAAATGAAATCTCAAATCTCATCAATCAGTATAGTAATTAGTAGGCTCAAATAATGATGAGTTAATCATATAATTGAAATGTGGGTCCCGCAAGCACATGGCATAGGGTGAAAAAGTTGCCATTAAAGCAAGGCCTTTTATGTCACTTCACATAATAATATTAATTTTTGAGTCCACCCCTATTCTATTCTAATGTGGACACAGTCTATGGGCATGTGATTAATGTCTAACTTTTGCTCTCAAATAATTTTTGTTATGTTTCTCTTACAAAAGAAGCCTTGGTAGGGAAAACGAATGGATTTCCTTAGGCTATCATATATTGGATTTTCTTCTATTCTTGGAATGTAAATACTTTTTAGGGTATTAATCTTTCAAGTAAAAACAAGATTAAAAAAAAAAACTGACCATTTCAAGAGAAGAAAAAAATACGAAAGAATTAAATATCTATATTTGTAGAAAGAATAAGATTAACAAAAGTTATATACCTGTTTTGAATGTAGGAATGTTGTGAGAAATAATGATAATGAAATTTGTATGGTAAATATTTACTTATTTTGTATTTATAAAATTAGTTATATTATACATAATATCCGTAATAGAGATTGTTTTCAATTTTACCTTTATTGTTTTAAAATTTTCATTTTCATCCTTAATATTTTGATTTTTTTAAAAACTTCTTGTGAGCCATTTTCATTAAAATTTTCAAGGTTAGTTATTAAAGAAGTGAAGACAGAATTAAAACTCTCAAAAGTTTAGAATCAACATTAAAGCCAACTGTTTTTTGAAATAAAGATGATGAATACTATTAATAACAATTAACATAAYTCAATTGATCTTAGATATCACTTTCTTCTTTTTCCAAGGTTTAATCCTCCCACATTTATTGAACTTAAAAAAACCTAGATTATGAATAAATAATCTATTTTTCATAGTTGATAACTAAATAATATTTTTATTACCTTACAAGTTTAGTTCATAAACTTTCAGGTTTATGTCTAAATAGGTATCTCAATTTCAAATAGTAGTGTCTAATAGATTAGAACTTTGAATTTATGTCTAATAAAGTTTCAAACTTTCGAATTTGTATCGAATAGATCCATGAACTTTAGAAAATATTGAATAGGTCAAGGACATTTTAGACACCAAATTTAAAGTTAAAAAATTTGTTTGACACAAATTCAAAACTTCAAAAATTAAACATGTAATGTAACATAATATTTATTTTTGGTTCATTCTTATAAATTACGAAAACAGAGTAGTGCAAAATTTAATATAAGAACTAGACATTTAGTCGGCTTCCATGTTTTTTGGTGGGTATAAGTTGGGAAGGCATGTGGGCATCTTAATGGAAGAATCTGATGATACAAAACAAGGGGGGTTGCCCGACAAAACCGACATAGCCAACCGAAACTACGATGGTCGGTCAGGTTGGTCTGATTTGGGTGGGCGTTCAGTTTTTTCATTAATGTGTGGGGGGTTTATTATGTGCATCTGCCTTTTCATATAAACCCAAATAATTTAGTAGGGATGGTAAATGTGGATGATTTTTATTAATAATGTTAATAATAAAAGTTATTTAAAAAAATATTGTATTTTAATTAAAAATGTTTAAAATATGGTATGTTTTGAAACTTTTTTTTAAAAATATAATAGTTTTAAAAAAGTGAAGGGTGGTTGTCTGAGAGACGACCATCCGACGTGGTCGTCTCTTGAGACGACCATTTTACGTGACGCCATGTAAGTTGGTTTTAGATTTAGGAGATAGAGACGACCATCTCCTTTTTTTTTACCAGCTCATTTATTATTTTGTTTTTTAGGGTTTTAAATATTTTTAATTAAATACATGGGTATATTTTTTTTATTTATTAACTAAAAATTCACTTTAATCTCTAGTTATTATTAACTATATTAATTAAAAAATCCCCTCAAATATATTATTAACTATATTTTTAAAATAAGTTTTATTATTAACTATATTATGCTGTGTAAACAAAAATTATGATTTTATGATTTTCTTATATAATCATCATGAAGTTATCCATGTTAGTTCAAAATTGGAAATTAATATTATAAATAAGAGAACAATGTTTGTAGTCCGTCAATTTACAATCTATCGATCTAATTCGTTCCACAATGGGGACGTTGCCGGTTACGATGTGGCTGACGACGTACTAGTGGTGCCGCTGGTGTCTCTTGACTCTCTGTAGGGTCTCGATCTTCCGTAGGGTTGAAGTATTGTCCATGTTCTCCACGTCCACGTCCATGGCCCCCTCCATAGCCATACTGCGGCGGCAAAGATGGTGTGTGATACTGACTAGAACCAGGAGTCGGTATCATGACCATAGGCGTGGACGGACCAGCATCATCCTGTGTCTGTGTAAATGGTGGAATGTCTTCAACCCTATGATAGATAACTTCAGGTACGGGATCGTCAGCATCATCTTGATCTACTTGACGTCGTCCTCTACGCCTAGGGCCATGAGCAGGAGTAGGTACTTTTTACATTTGATGAAGGCTCTGAAGATGCCTCCCGCCAACGTTGCACAACGTATTAATTTCGTCGGATGACGAGAGAATACTGATTTACTCGAAATACGCAGCCTACATGAAAAAGAATTAATCAATTTGTATTTATTAATTTGAATAATTGTTATAACGAAATAAAAGATTGTACCGTAGCACCAAATGCTGCTCCTTCTCCAGTTATATATCGTCTGGTGATTAACGTATACCAGCTCATGTATCCTGGATCACAAGTACCGTCATTGTCGACTGGAGGATTGATAACAAGAAAATCTCTACGTATGTTCCACCTCGCCATAAAATGTGCAATCTGATCTTGCCAGGTGCTATCCTGAATGTCGATGTCATGTATCTTCTTATCCCAGCATGGCACCTCTGGAATTGCTTGTATCATACCAAATTGTCTTGTAACTCTATCAGGATGATGCCACTCAGCATCGTCGAATCCGTAACAGGCTTATAATATATGCTGTCTTGTATCATACCACTGACAAGCTGCATAATATAGGCATGAGCGTATCTGGCAATGGTTTCCTCATCAGCATCGTCGGCTAGATTACGAAATTGGGAAGCTAGCCAAGGTAAACTCAGCCTAGAGTCTCTGATGTGCGCAGCACCTGGAGTCACCCCAAGTAATGCTTGACGGGTGCCTCTCCAATCATAATCAACGCGACCAGTAACAGGCTCGCCATCTACTGGTAACCCAAGCTGCATCGCTACATCTTGTAGTGTGATAGTACACTCTCCATCAGACATGTGGAATGTATGAGTCTCTGGCCTCCACCGTTCCACAAGCGCAGTAATGAAATGCCAATCTAATTGGATGAATCCCAATCTGGCGAATCCATAAAATCCAGAAACGCGTAATGCAGGTTCAATTAAATGATGCAATGGGATGGTACGATCAAATACTGTCTCTCTACGTCGTCAGTGCAACTCCTCGTTACACTGACCTTGCCAAACTAACTCTGATCGATGTCGAGTTTGGTCATACAATACAGATCGATCGATAGGACCTGAGTTTAATTCCATAATCTAATACAATAGATAATCATTAGTTGGAAAATTAAATATAAATTTTAAAACAATAGTCACAACACAGAGTATCAATTAAACTAAAGGTATAATCACATAGAGTTTTCAATTACATCGACAATTAAACTAACACAGAGTACAATCACACTGACAATTAAACTAACATAAATGATTCAGACTAAAGTTTTCAATTACATCAACATCTACGAAGGTGCTTCTCGTCGTCTCGAGGGACAATTTCTTTGATTGTGACCAAATTGATTACAAAGCCGCATCTTTTTTGAACACTTGGTTCTCTTCAATCCATCTCGTTATGAATACGCGAGCTCCTTGGTCTTCCAGGCAATCTCAATAATGTTGGATCAGGGTGCAATATAGGTAAGTTTGGGTGAGCGATCCAATAATCTTCATGTGGGATTGGCTGAAATTGAGGAGCGTAAGACTCATCATACCTCGAAAGCTTGTAAGGCTCCTCAATGTAGTCCTCGTAGTTAAAGTTTAAGTGTGAACAAACTGCCATTAAATGAGAACATGACATGCCATACGTTTGCCACTTGTTGCATGTACATGAACGTTCTTCGGCAGTAAGTCTCACTATTTGTGTGTTCCCTCCTTTCGAATTGTAATAGTGAAGCCCTGTTTTCACATGAAACACACCTACGACTCGATCATAACTGACTACAGTGTGTTTGCTGGATCTCGCGGCCCATCTAACAAGCTTATCGTAAGCATACCTATTAAGCTTGATAATGTAAGTTAACAACATTGACATAATGCAAGGATAGTAAACAACGCATTAAAAAATACCCGGTGTATTTTTCGTTTCTACTTAAAGCATCTCTTGTTTCCTCCCTCCGCTTCTCGAAATATATTACGCATCGGTAGAATGTAAGTTCTACCAAGGCAGTGATAGGTAACATCTGAGCTCCTTTCAGTACCCCATTTATGCATTCGAAAATATTGGTTGTCGCCCACCCAACCATTTGAACAAAATGTTCAAACTCAATACCACTGTAGACAGTAAAACCTCCACTTGACGATCCATCCTAATCAATTTCATTTACACCAGTACCTCCATTCATATACAGTACAATCGTCAAATATTTAGCTGCCATTTCAATCCTAAATTGGAAAAGGATATATTTAATTAAGGTCCTAATTAAATTTAACTACACCAATCAAATAAATAACCTAAATTTATTAAACATTACGCACATGTATTAAATAAAAAAGCAAATCAAGAAAATAAATTAATTACATAAATATATATTATTTAAACAAATAAATAATATATTAATTAACAATTAAAAACAATTAAATACATTCACCAACAATTAAAAATAAATATATGATTTTATAATTGCCTAAATTCATCTAATAAAGAAACGAATTAAAAATAACACAAAATACAAACAAATATTTATAACAAATAAAAAGTATCTTTAT